TAACAAAAACTAATGAAAAACATAGCATAGGTAAATGAAAAAATACTAAAAGAATAATAATAATGAGTTATATTATTAATATTTTGATTTAAAAGCTTCTAATATGGGCATGTAGAAGAGATGAGACAAATAGAGATAAGAAAGAGATACATAATAATAATAGATAGATATAGATGCAAAGATTAAGAAACTAATGAGGATTTTGATTAACTACTCTATCAAGTTTATCTCAAAAAATTTTAATTGTTATAGAAGTCAAATATCTGTTTATAATAAATTAATATGTGCTTAAAATAACTTTTATATTAATTAATAAAAAATTAATTTTAATTACCAATTAGTATTATTATATTTAATAATTATTAAAAAGGTAAAACATAAACAAACGACGTGAAACACAGTTTTAGAGCCTAGATAATATATTACAACCATACAGTGTTGTCAATAGCAGCCATAGCGGCCGCTATAGCGGCATAGCGTAGCAGCCAGCTACAACCAGTATGACAAATTTTCATAGCGTAGCGTTTCTTCAATAGCGGCTGCTATTACTGCTAATAGTGGCCGTAATACAAATAACGAATAGCGTGCATATCAGCCGCTATGTAATTTTTTTTTATTATTTTGATCAAATTACTATGTTAACCCCTCATCTAAAGTTTAAGTTAAAAATTTTTAAGGTTAATTTTGTCTTTTCAACTTTTTTATTTATAAATTAAAAGAAGAAAACCCTAAAAGCTAAAAAAACTCATCCTCTGGTCTCGTCCCGCCCATGTCTGGTCTTCCGACTCTTCTCCTCCCAACTCTCTTCTCAACTCTCCTCCGACTTTTCTCCTCCCGACTCTCCTCTACACTTCGCACAACATCTGGTCTCCTCTTAGTCCCCATCGGTCATAGCAAGAATGCAAGACAACTCTCACAGAGCTTACCCTTTCACACCTCCTGTAACTGGAGTTACTAGACTGCGATTAATCACTGATCTGTACACCATATCATCTCCAATTTCAGGTAATCTTTCAAGTAAGCATTGATTTTACTGGACAGCAATTAAGCATTTTATAATTTTTTTTTTTGGCTTGGTTCTACTTCTGCCAATGTCGTCTCTCTCTTTTTTCTTTTTTCTTTTTTTTTTTTTGACACTAGAAAAAAAAGTTGGAATTAGAAATAGAAAGACACGAAAGCATGTTGCAATTTTTTTTT